TCTCCTCTCTCTCTCTCTCTCTCTCTTCTCTCTCTCTCTCTCTCTCTCTCTCTCTCTCTCTCATCTATCTTCTCTCTTCTCTTCCTCTCTCTTCTCTCTCTCTCTCTCTCTTCTCCTCTCTCCTCTCTCTCTCTCTCTTACTCTCTCTCCTCTCTTCTCCTCTTCTCTCTCTCTCTCTCTCTCTCTATCTCTCTCTCTCTTCTCTATCTCTCTCTCTCTCTCTCTCTCTCTCTCTCTCTCTCTCTCCTGCTCTCTCTCTCTCTCTCTCTCTCTCTCTCTCTCTCTCTCTCTCTCTCTCTCTCTCTCTCTCTCTCTCTCTCTCTCTCTCTCTCTCTCTCTCTCTCTCTCTCTCTCTCTCTCTCTCTCTCTCCCTCTCTCTCTCTCTTATTATGGACCGCTGACACCACGGCCCGAGTCCAGAGAGAGCCAAGGATCACACGTCTTGTCAGCGAAGGCACTGGGTCGGTCCGGACCTGCACCAACCTAACAGTTCGGCCGGTCCAGATCTGCGCCAGCCAAACAGCTCGGTTGGTCCGGACCTACGCCAGCCAAACAGTTCGGTCGGCCTGGGCCAGCGCCAACCGAACAGCTCGGTCGGTCCGAACCTGTGCCAACCAAACAGCTCGGTCGGCCTGGACCTGCGCCAACCAAACAGCTCGGTCGGTCTGGACCTGCGCCAGCCAAACAGCTCGGTCGGTCCGGACCTGTGCCAGTCGAACAGCTCGGTCCGAACAGCTCGGTTGGTCTGGACCTGCGCCAGTCGAACGGCTTGGTCGGTCCGGACCTGCGCCAGCCAAACAGCTCGGTCGGTCCGGACCTGCGCCAGTCGAACAGCTCGGTCGGTGGGCCTGCGTCAGCCGGTTACCTCGGTCGGTCTGGATCTGCCAGGCAGGCGGCCTGGTCGGATCAGTCTGTCCCGAGCGCGGGGCTAAACCCAACCTCTGCTGGGATTTCCCGATCAAGCAGGTACACTACAGAGCCCCACGGTCTGGCCGGCAAAGCTCGCAGAAAGGCCGGCGGGGCTTTTCGCGTTGCGTCGTGATTGCATTCATACGCGTTGTAAATCTACGGGCTCACAACTGACAGCTCTTGAAGGCAATTTACCCTCGAGGCTAGTTGTCACCCTGATGACTTTCCCCAACAGATGGCGTGATAACGCACCCCAACGGGACAGGGTGTTTCCTGTGCACGCACGTGCGAATCGCGCTACCTGAGCTGACCACCATATGAGAAGCACCCTCTATTTTATCCAATAAAAGAACACTCGCATAGCAAATACAGTAGACAAAAGTCGGAAACGCATGAGATTACATGTAAGGCATTCATTAAATTGCATCAGAAATGTAACACCTGCATTCCTATCCACCCTTGCCACGTGCATCAACACCGTTGATGCGACGGACTAACGTAAGCATCAGTTTTCGCTTGAGCTGTGCTTTGTGCTGTTTTTTTACTAATGGTGGCGGCGATATAAGCTTTGTGACAACACCACGTGACAGTTATCCCCGATCACGCTTAGTTATTTATCACACCTGGCTTACACAGCATGCACGACTGAAAGGCAAAAATTGGTACAAAATGAGACAAAAATGCGAGATTTACGAAACGAACTCTTGTGGAGTGGATATTCTGTCCGAGTATTTAATCAACATTTCCGCAGAGGCGTGAACGGTGTGGGCCGTTGTGGGTCGTTGCAAGTCGGCCTACATATCCGCCTCACAGGACCCATGGATCATTAGTTCTATGGATGTTAGGGCGGGCGTGTAGGCCAAGTCCACCGTCAAAGAAAACCCAGAAAGCAATTAGATTCAGACGAAAAACACCGCATTGTTTGCTACCCGGTGAAGCATTCCTTGGGTGTTTCTCTCCATCTCAG